TTGAGGTATACCTATGATGAAAATTACAGGCCTCTCTCATCTTTTTAAGTGGGAAAACTTGAACAATTGGTGGCTGACTAAATACTTTTTTGCCCCACTGTAGCAGAGGACCCATACAGGGATAGATCAAGTTTGGGTTTTATTCTGGATCAGGAGTGGGTTGTGCATTTTGCAGAAATGCAAGAAGGGCTGAAAGGGGACACGGTCATCAGCTCCAACTTGCTCGGTGCAAGAATTCAAAACCATCCCCCACAAGTGGCTTTCCAACTTCTGTTTGGACACATCCAGCGAAAGGGCACTCACCACCTCTCTGGGTCACTGTCTACTGTTGAACTGCTTTTCCTTTTAAAAGATGGACAGGACGGCATCCAATCCCACCCCCCTTGCAAGGAAAGCCCCTCAGGACTGCACCTCTAATGTCCGCCATTTAGGGGATGTAAACAGGCAGGAACACCAATGGCATTTTGGTGCCATTTCTTCAGAGCGCAGACCAAAGGGGATGTCTGCACTTAGAGGGAGCACTACTGTGGAGGAGCAACCCTCCATGAAGGTGCTTCATGAAAGCTGTGGGCTCCGTCCGCCCGAAAACTACATGCTCTTGGCATCTTCCTGACCCAGCTCCGTAAATGCTTGTGGGATGGAGCACATTCCTTCCCTCCTTTAGCAGAGATGAGATTCACAGAAGGCCAGAGGAGAACGATAATGGTTGATATGTCCCCCCAGATTGGTCAGAGTTTCTTCCTAACATTGACTTCATCCTCCTTCATAAAGCCCAGAGTCTTCCAGGTGCAAAAGATGCCATTGTGAAGGGATTAAATGTCTCTGATATGGAGAAGTTCTTGCTTCGTCCTTTGTTCTTTTACCTCAGAGAGAACAAAGAAGCTGCCAACTCTGAGGGCCAGGAGCCTCTATCTCCTGAGCATTTATTCTCTCTCTTTTCTTAGGAAGAAAGGGAGCTGAGAGACCTGGGTTGTAACAAAAGAGGTTCATCTTCTGGGAGAGAATGACCAAGTTTTTCTCTTGGTAAATTTCACTTCACTATTTATTCTGATTCTGTTTCCTGGCTAGAAAAACTGGGACAACTGATCGCAAATTTACTTTGAAGGCTTGACACCTTTCCTGTGTAGTCCAAATCTTATCAAGCCTCCAGCTGTGAGGTGCCCATTTCAAGTGTTTTTGAGAGCAAAGGCCTCAATCTTTGGTAAAAGGAGATGAAAGCCAACATTTAGCCATCTTAAGTGTTAAATCTGAATTACTGTATTATCCATGGCTTTGGCATTCTAATGTGTGAAATAAGTGAGCTCCCTTCCTCAGGAGGAGCCTTTGATTCCTGAGCCTTCATGTCCTGAGGTAATTTTTGCTTCTCAGCTGTCACTGAGTTGCAAAGAAACCAACGGACCTCCCTCCGGCTATGGCTCCCAGGAAGTGCCAAATTGGGGAACGGTCTCTTGGGGCCCTCCATCTCTGAGGGAGCAGGGGAATAGGGGTCTCCCCTGAAAATGAACGTAGAGTCACCAGCAATCATATTTGACTCAAAGGCAAATACTTTGGAATTATTTTAGTTGAAATGTTACAGGTGCACATTTCAGGCTATTGCCTTAAAGGAATTTTCCATTAAAGGAGTTTCCCATTAAAGCACTAAAGGAGAATCTAAATTTGGGAGAAAGTGTGATAAATCTGCTATTCAGAGATTCCCCAAGAAGCATTTTACATACAATGACTGAGCCTACCTAGATACAATAAAAAAAAAAAAGATCTTAATGCAGAACAAAAATGAAAATTAATCTTATGCTTTTGAGCAACTTTTAAATTAAAAATAAAAATTGAGTTAAAAAATTAGAGCAATATTAATTTTCTTTCATAATGTAATTGTTATCTGAACCACTGTGATGGAATGTAGACCTGGCCTTGGGAATAGGAAAGGGATGAACTGTTGAAACATTAAGGGGGGAACTTCAGAAGAAAATCCTCAGTCTGAGCAAAAAATAAAGCATGAGAAAAAAAATGCAAAATGACCCCAGCTTGATTTTGTTTGGTATAAGATGTAGTAGAGAGAAACTCTTGACAGGTTTTCAAGAATCTATTATCATACCCTACAACAATCAAGACAATTCCTGAAATCCTGCTGTTCCTGTTACTTGACCTTGCTACCGTGAAGTATTGACACACAGGGATTTCATGATCTCAAGTATTCCTGGATCCCTCTCCCCATGATCCCAGAGGAATCCAGTCTGATAATTCAGAGGCTGCTCTTCGCAGTCTCAGGCCCTAACAGCTCTTCACTTTTGTTCCAGAGTTCTGCTTGAAGTCTTTTTCTAAGACACGATGCTTTTTCTCTACAAGGGATGGAGCTGAGGAAATTTCCTTTGTCTAAGCACTTATGTAAACATCTCCCACACAAAAAGATTTTGAATCAACTGTCCAAGTTGGTAGAACCTTTGGCAGAAAAGGCTCAGAAGTCAGTGAATGTGAGGAGTGACTTGCCTATTCATTCACTACTTATGGATTTTCCCTGAATGGATCCTTCTATGGGAAGAAAGTTGACTCCGCCATCTGAAAGTCTTTCCACACTCCAGGCATTTATAAGATTTCTCTCCAGTGTGGATCCTATTATGGGAAGGTGACTGCTGGTGCTGAATCTCTTTCCGCACTCCATACATTTATATGGTTTCTCCCCCGTGCGGATCCTTTTGTGGGAAGTAAGTTGACTATTCCATTTAAAACTCTTTCCACACTCCAGGCATTTATAAGGCTTTTTATCTGTTTGGCTCCTATTAGGGGAAGAAAGGTCACTGCTTGTGGTAAAACTCTTTCCACACTCCATACATTTATATGGGTTTTCCCTTGAGTGAATCCTCTTGTGCCTAGTTAAAGAAACATTTTCATGGAAGCACTTTCCACAGTCCATGCATTTATATGCTTTTTCCTCTGAATGTATCCTTTTGTGAGAAGTAAGATTATTATTCTGCTTGAAACTCTTCCCACATTCGGTGCATTTGTATGGTTTTCCCCAGTGTGGACCCTTCTACCAATACCAATACCAATACCAATACTTTTAATGGCCAAGTATAAAACATACACAAGGAATTTATCTTCGGTGATAACAGCAAAATCTTATCTCTGTGGGAAATAAGGTTACCATTGTGCTTGAAACTCTTCCCACATTCGGTGCATTTGTATGGTTTTCCCCAGTGTGGACCCTTCTACCAATACCAATACCAATAGCAATACTTTTAATGGCCAAGTATAAAACATACACAAGGAATTTATCTTCGGTGATAACAGCAAAATCTTATCTCTGTGGGAAATAAGGTTACCATTGTGCTTGAAACTCTTCCCACACTCCAGGCATTTATCGGGTTTCTCTCCTGTGTGGATTCTTTTATGAGAAGTAAGATCACTGCTCTGCTTGAAACTCTTTGCACACAGAATACATTTATAGGGTTTCTCTCCTGTGTGGATCCTTTTATGGGAAGATTACTGCTCTGCTTAAAGCTCTTTCCACACTCCATGCATTTGTATGGTCTTTCTCCTGAATGGATCCTTCTATGAGAAATCAGTGTACCAGTGTGGTTGAAGCTCTTTCCACACTCTATACATTTATATGGTTTTTCACCTGTATGGAGCCTTTGATGTGAAGTAAGGTTACAGTTCTTGCTGAAGCTCTTTCCACATTCCATACATTGATACGGTTTCTCACCTGTGTGGATCCTTTTATGAAAGGTAAAATCACTTCTATCCTTGAAGCTCTTTCCACACTCCATGCATTTATATGGTTTCTCTGCAGTGTGGATCCTTCTATGGGACAGAAGGGTAGAACTGTGCTTGAAACTCTTTCCACAATCCATGCATTTATATGGTCTTTCCCCTGAATGGATCCTTCTATGAGAAATGAGGATAGAGCTATGTTTGAAGCTCTTTCCACATTCCATGCATTTAAATGGTTTCTCTTCTGTGTGGACCCTTTGATGTGAAGAAAGGATACAATTCTGGCTGAAGCTCTTTCCACACTCTATGCATTTATATGGTTTCTCTCCTGTGTGCAACCTTTGATGTGAAACAAGATTACACCTCTGGTTGAAGTTCTTTCCACATTCCTTGCATTGATATGGTTTTTCACCTGTGTGGAGTCTTTGATGAGAAGTAAGGCTACTACTCTGGATGAAGCTCTTTCCGCACTTCATGCATTTATATGGCTTCTCTCCTGTGTGGAGCCTTTTATGGAAAGTAAGGTGGCTGCTTGTGCTGAATCTCTTTCCACAATCCATACATTTATATGGTTTCTCTCCCGTGTGGATCCTTCGGTGGGATATAAGTTCACTGCTCTGCTTGAAGGTCTTTCCACAATCCATGCATTGATAAGGTTTCTCTCCTGTGTGGATCCTTCTGTGAGAAGTAAGTTCACTGTTCTGCTTGAAGTTCTTTCCACAATCCATACATTTATATGGTCTTTCCCCTGAATGGATCCTTCTATGGGAAATAAGGGCAGAACTATCTTTGAAGCTCTTCCCACACTCCATGCATTCATAGGGTTTCTCTCCTGTGTGAAGCCTTTGATGAGAAGTAAGGATACAGTTCTGGCTGAAGCATTTTCCACACTCCATGCATTGATATGTTTTCTCCCCCATGTGAATCCTTTTATGGAAGTTCAGGGAACTTAAGTTACTGAAGCTCCTCCAACAATCCTTGCATTTAAATGCTTTTTCAACTGTATGGATCCTTTTATGGGAATTAAGGGCCCTGTGATCAATAAAGCTTTTTCCACACTCTGTGCACTGATGTGGTCTCTCTCCTGTGTGTACTCTTCTATGTAAAGTAAGATTATAGCTCCACTTGAAGCTCTTTCCACACTGCATGCACGTATGTGGTTTCTCCTCAGTGAGGATTTGCTGACATAAAGTAAGAGAGTCTTGACTGAAAAATGTTCCAGGCTTTTTCCAGTCATCTTGGTTGTGTCTAGTCTTGGTTCCATGTTGATAATAGAGATCCGTATCACTGAGTATTGTCTCCTTTCTGTTTTCTGCATGATCCTGTTGAGTCAGGAACTCATAGACCTCTGCACACTGAGAACTCGGCAATTTATCCCTTGCATAGTTAAAGTGGTTTTTCTTGTGTCTTTTTGACTTCCACTGATTTTCCAATGTCTCTTTTCCCATTTCATGTTTGATAGTTTGTGATGTCATCATATGCAGCTCCTGAAAATTCTCATTTTCCCATTCTCCTGTTTGAGAGAGAAAAAATAAATACATTTTCTTTGAACTTTGTAACAGAAGATGACCCATTTAGTTAATGAGTACATTTTAATGGGCATTGATCAGCATCTCCAAGATTCTGTTTGCTCTCTCTTGAAACCTACATGTTACTTTGGTCATACAACTGTCTTGGATGTGATATCTTTCCTGGACTATTTCCCCTGAATTCATGAGCATGTAGATGACTTCGTTCCTCCTAAAAAATGAAAAGTGCATGTAATAATAAAAGAAAAAATGTTTTAATAGAAATAAGATATCATTAGAAGATATAGATGAAGCCCGTAGACGTTAGGAATTTGAATTCATAACACCTGATTCTGAGCAAAATAGGGCACTTTATGGTTTTTGAGACTGCAAAGCCTCCATTAGCCCAGAATGACTTTTAGATGATCCATTATTGTTGGCATAGGAGTCAGAAGGATCTTTTCATGGTGGAGCAGAGCCATGAAACTCATATGCTGGATGGTTTTATCTTAGAAATGCCCATCTGTGATAGCCTATGTCCTGCAAGATCTATAGGACAGTGCAGTGAAGAGATTAAGGGTGCAAGTCTATAAATATCTACCCACAAATGTGCTCTTGCTGTTCACAAGGAACAGGAAAGAGAAAAACAATTGGGTGGGAAGGAAATCTTAGCAAATCTCAGAGAGGTGATGTCACAGGTTCTTCTTTGGACCACCAATAACCAAACTGACCCAGACTCAATAGACACAAAGCCCTGGAAACCTGGACAGTTGGTTGGGTTTTTGTATCTCCCTTCAATGGTTGGGGGGAGACCCTTATTTTATAAAAGGAAAGCTTACAAATAAAAGAAAAGAATTGTAAATTATAAATGCCTTCAACTAGTTCAGAAATTAATTTTAATAAAACTACAGGTAGTCCTCAACTTACGACCTCAATTGGGACTGGAATTTTCATCGCTAAGCGATGCAGTCATAAAATGAGACATCACTTGACTGCATCACTTAGCAACTGCAATCCCGACAGTTCCAGTTGCCATCATTAACAGAATCATGGGTGGTTAAGTGAGCACCCACCCCAATCCAAGCCATTCCAGGCTTGGTCCCTCCCAGCCTCGAGCCTCAGTAAGGAAAGGGACTGCCTCCACCTCCCCCCACCTACCTATCTCCCCCACCTTTTCTGCCCTTTTGGCCGCCCTGCACCCTGCCTTGTGCGGTGGCAAGCAGCCCCTGAGCCACAGCACAGCCCAAAGCTGCAGCCATCCCAGCCCAGCCACACGAAGCCACTCCAGGAAGCTGTAACCGCCCCAACCCAGCTGCACGAAGCTGCCCCAAACCGCCCCAGGAAGCATTTAGTCACCCAGCTGCCTTCTCTCCCAGTTCCCCACACCGACCTTTTGCATTTTGCGCCCAGCTTCTACAGTGAACTTTTCCTTCATGCGGCTCAGGGGTCGCTGCACAGTTCAGGGGCTGTGGGCTGCCCTGGAAGGGAGGGGGCAAAGCAGCCAAAAGGGCAGAGATGGGGGGGAGATAGGCGGGTGGGGAGATCTGAAGTGCCCCTGCAGTTTAAGTGCAGGCTGGCTACCAGGTGCCCAAATTTTGATCACATGACCATGGGGGTGCTGCAGTGGCACAGGTTGTAAGTCCCTTCGTTCAGTGCTGTCGTAATTTCGAACAGTCACCGAACAAATAGTTGTAAGTCAAGGACTACCTGTATTTTCTGTTTTAACTATCTATTGTCTATAGGCTGTAGCTACACTAGATTCTTTAAAATCCAATTTCACTATATTTTCATCTTTCTATTCTATATCTTGGATATATTTATTTATTGCCAAGAAGGGAGTGGGAGGAAGGAGTTCAGGAGCTTAGAACCTGCTCAGGCAGGTGGCCCTTCCAGAGATGACTCTAATATATTCTTATTAAGGGTACAGAATTATAACACTCCATTGAAAAGTTGGATTCAGCTTCTCTTCCTCTTTGGAAAATTCAGTAGTGCTTTTCTATAGAATGCTTTTATTTATGTTAAAAATGCTAAAATGATCAGAGACTCTGAGAGCTGCAGAAATGGAGCTTTGGGGTCCCAGCAGGGTCAGAAAAGTAAAGGTGACAGCCACAAAGCTCTGCTTGTTAAAAAACAGGCAGAACGATCACACTATCACAGTCCCCTTCTTGACTTTTTTAATCACACCTTATGGACATCCCGAGGTCACAGAAAGCTCTGACCCCTACCTCTTTTTAGCCAAAGGGTCAAATTATTTCTGATGAGATTGAAAATTCAGCAAGGAGACCCTCAAATCCAGGACATGAAAAGGCCCCACCATAGATTAAAGCAGGAATCTGTAGATCTCTCACCTTCTTGAGACCTCAAGAAGACCAGATTTTTTCCATATTCCAGTGAAGAGACCACATCTGATAGGATCATTTCTTGGGTTACGGTTACTTGCAAATGCTTTCCCCAACTATGTGACCTTGGAGCAAAGAGAGGCCCTTACCCAGAGAAGCCACATTTTTAGAATTCTCCCGCATGACTTCCCCATGGAGGGCCTTCTGGGTGGAATCCAGCAGAGCCCACTCCTCCTCTGAGAAACACACCGCCACCTCCTGGAAGGACACGGGACCCTGAAAGAAGATTAACAAATTTGCTCAAGCTTCACATCTTAAAAATCCTGGATGGTATTTTTTAAAATCCTGGGACTAGATGATACCATCTTTCTGAGCTGAGTTCTACCTGGACAGTTTAAAGCAGCTTAAATTATGGCTTTTTCTCCAATGGGAGCTGTTGCAATTTTCTGCTTTCCAACAAAAGCAGAAGAAATTTCAGCAGCTGTCAGAAACAATAGATGTTTCTGCTGTTCCTTCCCAGAACGCTGAACAACAGGAGGAGCAGCCATGCGTGTAAGCAGGTGACTCACCTGTAGAGTCACTGAGGCTTGAATCCTACAGAAGATCTCCCAGAAACCTTGAGATGTGTCTGATTTCTCCCTCTGAGTTCACGGAGAAGCTGGAGGGGTGAATCAGACATTAGCAGGGAATATATGTCGCTCAGGATTGAAATGTTGGAATTGTAGTGTTTGTTCAGCTCAGTCTTCTTCTTGCAAACATTTATTTGCCAAAATAGATAACATCATCAATGCTTTGACACAAGGGAATGGGATTACTGGTTTTATGTGTGGCAGCTTGTCATATTTGTCTTGATCAGGGCTGTTATAATGTACGCACCTGATTCTGATTACAGTTTCCCAACTGAATATGTGGCTAAATTTGTCTATGTGAAATTAAATAATTTTCAATATATCTTCAAACTCCCAACTGGTGTTCATGGATACATCCTGCTGTTTATCCTATTTAGTGGCTTTCACAGTCCTTGCATTAGATGTTGTAAATAATTCCTGTTCTGTCTTCTTCAGTTGTTGAACCTTTGGGTTAGTTTTAGATGCTGTGGAGGGATTTTGTTGGTTTGGGGGCTACTGTGATGCCTAGTGGTTGAAGTACTCTGCTGATGTCTTCTGAGACATTTTTGACGTATGGGAAAATTACTCTTTTCATGGGTTAGTGGTATTTTAGTTGGCTACATGGAGAGGTACCTTTTTAATGAAATTGTATGAGTTGTGTTGAAGGGTGCTGTAAAGGCAGCCTGCTTTTTCTTCTTGAAGTTCTGGGCTCCTGCAGGGTGTTTTTGCTCATTAAATTCTTTAATCTCACAACACAGGGACACATTTAATACATAGAAACACAATACTTGGACAAACATTTCAAGTTTCCCATTTATTATGATTGTGTATCCTCCCAGAACCCAGGCTAAAAACATCTGTGATGGCTTGTCAGAAATTTACTTTCAAGGCCAGAACCCTTCCTTGCATTAGCCAAAATTGTTCAAAGCACTGAGTACTTCTGTGGTGCACATTTCAGGATGTTTTTAAGGACAAAGCCCCTGGTCCTTGGTTAAAGTATAGAAAAGCCAACTTTTGACCACTTTAAGAGCTAAAACTGAAATAGTTATCCAAAGCCTGGAACTGTAGCAGTTCAGAGATCAACAGCCCAACTGACACAGAGCCCAAAACCTGTTTTTCTTTGGATTTTAGGAAACTGCTCATCTTATGAATCTTTGCCTAGATGAGAGCTAATAAAATGAAACATTCCAGAAACCCAAATACCAGAATACAGATTTGGACCATTTTGATTCCATCCTTACAGCAAGTTGCAGAACCTGATCTCTTTGGCCTTGGCCATGTTAGAATGCAGTTAGCCACCAAGAGTCTCTGGATTGCAGTGCGGTAACTGTGAGCGAGTGAAGTTGGGATTGCTGTTTGTGTTTGGGAAAAGTAGCTGCCACCAGGCAGAAACGCTTCCCACCCCATTTCCCTCATGCATTCATTCATTCATTCATTCACTCACAACTTTACTCACAAGCATCCAAGCTGGTGTTTCAGCTGCTGTAATAATTGAGCTACACCCTGGCATTTTCAAGGACATACCAATGACATCCAGAGGCAGCCTCACCCCACCGAGGCCCTTAGCTTACAAAAACAAGCGCCAAAACAGGTGTGGAGGAAAGGAGATAAACAAACAGCATGGAGATGGGGCAGCGGAGGCAACGTCTGGAGATTGGCAGCTGTTACAAGCAGGCGAGAGGACTCTCAGTCAACTTCCAGGACCACAAGTTGTGGTAAGCAGCATATCCTGGGGGGAGTCCTGCCTGGAGCTTGGAGCTTTGCCAGCAGCTGGGTAGCAACTAGAAGAGGAACAACCACACTGAGACAGCCCCTCATCCCAACTAGAGTAAGAACGTTTGGAAGGAGGTGAAAGTTGTCTGCCACCTTACAGACTTAAAGGCTTTTGCTTGAACTAAGTATTAAAGGACTGAGTATTAAAGACACATTTACATGGCAACATCACCTTGCAAGTCCTAAAGGGATGGAGAGCAATATTGCTCTATTGCTGGGGAAAGCAATAAAGCATTGTGTACAGATTTGCTACACTGTGGTGTGTCCGGTCCTTGGAAAACAAAGAACCCACACAGTAACCTGGAAATCTGAGAGCTACAGGCCAGACTGAGATGTAGAAAAGTTCCCAAAAGAAAGGAAGAGGAAACCACTTTCATACTGTGGCCAAGAAAATGGCATGGACGTTCCTATGAAGTCAACAGGAGTTGAGTTTGATTTGAAAGAGGTCTTACAAGATACATTTGAAGGCTGAGTTGTTGGGTGATGAGGCTTTTGGCTTCCAGTTTTTCAACAAGATATCCAGAAAATCATATCTTGGTTACTTCTGCTCCATTTATGCCCATAATCTATCTGCCTCTGAATGGGTGGGAAGACTGACTCAGTCACACACCAAAATGTACATCCCAGTTTGATTACTGCAATGGGATTATGATGTCCGGAGCTCATGAATGAACTGGAGGCCCTGAAATAGTCTCATTACTATTTACATGCTGACCCTTCTCTTACCTGACCAGGTGGCAGAGTTACTCTTTCTCCTCCATGAGAAAAAGGCAATGCTTCATGAAGTACCATGGATATTGTACCATCCCCTGTAAGGGAGACAAATGGGGTGAAAGAGTTTTAGAAAATATTGCTAATAATTTCTGGGGTGACACTATCTAATGAAGAGACAGAGCAAGTCAGAGCTGCAATTCTGGGGAAAGAAGAAGGAATCCTCCTTTACCTGGTGAGGTGGGCTGAGTTTGATCCTCCTGGAAGATCACCCCAAACAGTAACCCTTGAGAGGAATCTGATGGCTTCATCCTTGCCTTGAGACCTGGTGCCTTCACCTCAGTGGATCTTCCCTGCTTGTGAAGGAAGAAAGGAAGAGAATTGTGGGGCAGGACATGAGTATTCTTGTCCTCCATGATGAGCAATCCACCACCTACATCCATAAATGGGTATGGAGGAGGTTTCTGACCTGCCACCTGTCCTGGAAAATTGTATGGAAGGGGTAGAGAAATCTCCTCAGGAGAATCAAGAATAATATTTATTCCAGGGTGAAATATTCTCTCACCTCCTCTTCTTTGTCCACTGCCTGGCTCAGGAGGAAGCCTTCAGCTAGGGCCACTGCCTGGGAAGTTGTCTCTGCTCCACACTCCCGCACCCAGCTCTCCATCTCTGGGGGCAGGACGGCCAGGAACTGCTCCAGGACCACTAGGTCCAGCATCTGAGTTTTTGTGTGCCTTTCTGGATTCAGCCATTGAAGGCAAAGGTGGTGGAGGTGGCTACAAACTCCTCAGGGTCTTTCAGCGTCCTGGTAGCAGAATTCCCTGATGTTCTGGGGCTGAACATCCCCTGTGAGACGTTCTTCTTCCAAGATCTTCTGCCTAGTCCGTTAGTCGAATTCCCTCCAGCTCTCAACCTGAGCACCACCAAGACTTTTTCCTATTAGGTGCTCGGCCTCCATTTTCTCTCTGGACTCCCCAGAAGATGCAAAGACTTTGAAGGAATCCCCTGGATCTCCAAAGCTGCTGGCACTGGGAGGATCAGACCTGTGGGAAGAGTTGGGGTTCCCCATCAGGGTCCTTTTCCATGAGGATGGAGCCCCCTCTTTTCTCCCTCCAGCAAAGAAAGGCTTCACCAGTTTCTGCCTATTGTTCCTCCTTCCTTCTCTGCAAGGCTCAGGCAGGGTGGGGAGCAAAGGGGGCTCTAGCTGGAGAGAGCAGAGGCCAGTTCCAGATCCCCAGATCCCCTCCTAAGTCTTGCTTGCTCACTTGAGCAAAACGCCCCCTCCTGCAGCTCCAGCCTCCCCCTCCTCCTAGGAGCCCCATATCCCCAAGCAAGGAATGGGGAGGGTTTCCCAAGAGCAGCCCCTCCCCTCCCGGGTCTGCAGGCTGCGAATTTCCCCTGCCATCTTCCTCTTCTTTAGGAGGTTCTCCAGATGTGCCTCTACATAGACCCATCAGGCTAATTGCCTTTGGGGTGTGCAATGCTATGTGCAGTGCTGCACCTTGGAAGATATGATCCACACTTGCTATTTCCTCTTTATGTCAGCACTCAAAGGGTTAAAGGGAGAGAGCGTTCCTGCCTAGAGAGAGGAAACTCTGGCAAGGACCCTCACTTCCCCCCCACCTATCCCCACCTCCAAGGGATGCACCCCAGACAAGGACTCACTTGGCTTCCAAAGGCGCAATTGCTTTGCAGAGGGTGCCCCCTGGTGGCTCTTTCATGCAACACCTGCAAGCGTCCAAAGAGGGAAGCGTGAACATTGGGAGCATGGGGTGAAAGACAGAAACAGTACGAGAGCAACCCCCTGCCCCAGTCTTGCTGTTGTGCCTCATCATGGCAGGGGGGTTCCTGGGAGGGGTGAACAAAGGACATCAGGAGCATATGCCAAGAGTATAAACTCCCAGCTGGGTCACCCAGGTGCAAAGGCCATCCCAGCTGCGCGGGGACGGGCACCTTTATTGGGCAGCAGCAATAGAGGAGGATGCTGGAGGCGGAAGATCACTGGTGACAGTGGCAAGGGCGTCAGTTCACACTGCGTGGGAGAGGGCAGGATGCTGCACGCCACGGTGTTCCCTCTACGGAGGCGCACGTTGGACCTTGTAGGTGTCAGATAGGAGGAGCATTGATGCTTTTGAACTCCGGTGCTGCAGAAGGCCCCTGGGACCGCCGTGGGCAGCCAAGAAAACAAACGGATGGGTCATTGAGCAAACCAACCCGGAGTCACAAATGACCAGGCTCCGGTTGTCCTACCTTGGACACTTCATGCTCTCTGGAGAAGGCTCTGATGCTGGCAAGGGTGGGAGGAGAGAGGAGAGGAGGAGGACCAGCAGCGAGGGGGACGGGCTCCGTCGCAGTGGCCCCGGGGCCCCGTCGGAAGACCCGAAAGGACAGGACAGGCCCTGTCTGCGGCCACTAGGAGACAAACACGACCTGATGGCACATAATCAAAGGGACAAAAATGCAGAGCCCGGAACAACTTGTTTGGCAAGAGTGCAAAAGTCCTGCCGAGCTCCTGAACGGGCCATTCTCATTCTCAGTATTGCTACTGTATCCATCCTTCCTTCCTTCCTTCCTTCCTTCCT